GTGAGAACAGAATATCAGTCTAGATGGGCCTTTGGCCTGATCCAACTACAGTGCTCTTCTTACTTTCTTAACCCGCCTTGTCCTGAAGGCTTGCCATCTCCAGGAGAAGGTGAGCAAAGAGCCTCGAAATGGCCAGTCAGTAAGGTTTGCTGGCTTACAGCTTTTTATCAAGGGATACCCTGAGCTGTAATTAAGCTAGTCCTTGCAGACTATTGCAGTGCTGAAAGACAAATTTGCCGTCTTGCAGGGCTAAGAGGCGAGGGTGTGGTGAGCTCTTGCCTTTTAAGCTCCCTCTTCAGAGACGCCTTTCCCTGACAAGCTGCAGCTTGTCTCATCCAAAGATGTGTATTGCAAAAATGTTTCTAGGGGAAAAATGAAGGTGGCAGTCGATTGTAGGAGAGAAAGAAAAGAAAAAGAAGAGTAAAGGTGATTAGACAGAATTTGGCAAGATGCATCCACTAGTGGAAGAAAGTAATAGTAGTAATAGATAGTATTGTGGGAGTAAGAACATAAGAAAGAACAGCTCTGCAGGATCAGGCCAGTGACCCACCTAGTCCAGCATCCTGTTCGCACAGTGGTCAACCAGATGCCCCTATGGGAATCTCACAAGCAGGACATGAGCGTAACAACTCTTCCTACTTGTCATTCCTTAGCAACTGGTATTCAGAGGCATACTGCCTCCCACAGTGGAGTGAGAACATAGCCGTTGTGGCTAGTAGCCTCCATGAACATGTATGTGAGTAAGCCCCATTGAGTTCAGCTGGGCTTGCTGCCAAGTAGAGGGTGTATAGCCAGTGGCGTAGCGTGAGTTGTCAGCACCCGGGGCAAGGCAAGTAATTTGCGCCCCCTAACTCGTGGATTTTAGTAGGGGCAGAGAGCTGCGAGTGCGAGCGCGCCCCCCCGGATGTTGCGCCCGGTGCGGCCGGCCCCCCCTGCACCCCAACGCTACGCCACTGTGTATAGCAGGCTGTCTGCCGCACATCTGGCTACTCCTATTGTAAGGCTGTGGTCATGCTGGAGTTCCTATGGCTGGCTGTTTGCAGTTAAGCAAACTGCAGTGTGATGACACCCTCACATTTTTATTATATAGCAAAAAGGCCCCACACACTTTGACATGTGGTCGTTGCAGGGTTGACTGATTCAGTGTGACTCTCGGACCAAAAAAGTGTAGCAATCTAAAAGATAGGATGACAACCTTAGAGTGTTTCAATCTTCTTGCCCTTACCTCCTCTCTCTCCTACAACTGAAATTTGAGAATATAAAATATTTGGGGCCCTCCAGACTAATGGCATTTTTTTCCAGAGGTATTTTGCAACATGTTATTCACACTGACTAGAAATGAAGCAACGTGTCTGCCCTGAAACTTTCACAGGTGTAGACAGTATTGAAAGCGGGACTGCGTATAACCACCCTGATAGCATCATGAGCATAAATTACCATGAATGCTCAAGAAGAAGGACACCTGGAGGGGCCCTTGTGTCTTACAATTCCCTGTAAACCTGAAATTGAGGGTGCTGTGTAAATTTATGTGAATAATTTCACTGCAATAATTTTACTAGTGGCAGTTGCTAAGAATGTTGGCTCTGACTTGTTAAAAAGAAATAAAATAACCTCTTCAGGTGTTTGCCTTGGAAGTCCGAATAAGAGCTAGTGCATGTTGGGTTCCTATGGTATGTGGTTCCTAGGAAAGCTCTTTTAATTGATTGCAAGTGTGTTTTGCAACTGCTTGTAAAAGTAGCAGTTAAAAAATAATGTGGGCTGCTTGCTGCCTGAAAACTTGTAGTCCTGCATAGAGAAAGTGACTTTAGCATAGAAATTCTTTTATTTCTATCCTGCCCACTGGTTTAAAAAGTCTATTGGAGCAACTTGATTCACCAAGGTGAGGATTTACCTTGGGGTGGATGCAGTTGCCCACTCTTGATTTTTGTTCAGTTTGCTTGCTGCTAACTTGATTTCTTCTTTTTTTTAGTGACTTACAAAAGCAGAAAAAATGTCGCAAAAGCAAAAAGAAGAATTTATAAGTAATTTGAATGGAACTACCTTGCTGGAGATCTCCATTGGCTTACCCCTAGCGTCATTATGCCTCCTTTCCAGAGGGCTTCTGCTGATCTTTTATTTTCTCTGCTATGGAAAACCACTACAGTCAATGGTTGGCCATTTTCTTCTAGACTTCACCATCTTAGTTGTCCCGCCAGTGCTCTCTTGTACAATTTTGGCCCCTGTCCTACCTTGGGTAATGCTCTCCATCACCGTATTCTGTGTCAGCTTGGTTTTGATCATATACAATCGGAGAACCAATTATGTGAGAGTGCCGCCTAAGCAAATCATAAGCGATTTCTTGAGGACAAGCTTGGAACCAGAGTACATTCCTTCGATAACGGTGTTCCGAGTCTTTGTCAATGTCTTGACATCCATCAGTATTCTGGCTGTAGATTTTCCACAGTACCCTCGGAGGTATGCAAAAACAGAGACCTATGGAACAGGGGTAATGGATTTTGGAGTGGGATCATTTGTTTTTGGGAATGCTGTGGTTTGTCCAGAAGTCCGGCTGAAGCCTGGCACAGCACAGCACAAAGTCTCTTATCTTGCCAGGCAGTTCTTTGCTGTGTGGCCTTTGCTGCTTCTGGGCTTTGGGCGGGTGATGAGCATCAAGGCCATTGACTATTACGAACATGTCTCAGAATACGGTGTACACTGGAACTTTTTCTTCACTTTAGCTGTTGTACGGATGGCTGCGTCATTTCTTTTGGCTGTCTTCCCCGTGCGCAGAGCATGGTTAATTGCAGCAACACTTGCTGTAGTCTATGAAGGCTTCCTCAGCTTCACACCTTTGAAGATGTTCATCTTGCATGGGAGCGATGGCCAAGATTCACGGGACGGGTTTTTCAATGCCAACAGAGAGGGCATATTTTCTGTCATCGGCTACCTAGCTGTTTACATGGCTAGCGTGCAAGTGGGCTTATATTTGTTAAAGAGGAGGAGCTTGGTGAGAGATTGGCTTGGCGTGATCGGCTCTTTCCTGATTGCAGTTTTCCTCCTCTTTATCTGCCTTCATGTAACGCAAACTCACATAGACACTGTATCCCGACGGATGGCAAACCTCTCCTTTTGCGTGTGGGTCATCGCTCACGGCCTGTTACTCTTTAGTTGCTTTTTGGTGGCTGATCTTGTGCTGGTGTTTGGAAAGTTTCTGGTGGCTGGGGCTAGCATTCCTTGCAGCTGGAATTTCATGCAGCCAGCAGCGGCGAGTAAAAAACGCGACCCGGAGCCCCAGGATAGGAAAACGGTGCCTCGGAGACTGTGCATGATCAGCGCTGTGAATAAGAATCAGCTCCTGTATTTCTTACTAGCGAATGTCTTGACTGGCTTCGTGAATATGGTGGTCGACACGATTCACAGCAATGCATTCTGGGCTATGTTTGTCCTGCATCTATATATGTTTACAAACTGTTTGGTTATGTATCTGTTGCAAGCAAGAAATATAATCTTAAAGTGGTGGTAATTTTATAAATATATATAAAGTTGTAACCAAAAAGAAAAGGGTTTGCCTGCTGGGATTGCACTGGTTTTTATAAGACTTTTGCATGCATGCTGGTATACTGGGTTATTTTAAGGAAGGAATGTGGACTATAGTTGTTTTAAACTCATGGTCACTTTCATCGAATGAACTAATACATTTCCATACGTCTGTAGCATCGGGACCAAAGCTCAAGCTGGAGCCAGAGCCAATGGCAGGCAGAGCCACCTCATTCTTGTCCTCCTCCTCCCTACTGTGTTCTATAAAGGGCAACAATGAGACTAAGAAGGGGGAAGGAACCTTACAGCCAGGGCCATCCCCTGGGCTAGTTGTAAGAAGGCAGGCAGGGCAGGTGGCAGCTGTTTGAGGGAAAACTGAGGTTGGTCACTTTTGCAGACCAGACATTAAGCTTATTTGTCCCTTTGTTACATTGGGATTCCTGTGCAGGGTACCCTTCTCTCCTGCAGTGGGTTCGCACGCACTGAGTGCCTAACATGCTAAGAAGTGGTACTGAGGCAGAGGGCACTTTGTGCTTGATGAAGGTTTACAGCATGTGAATGGATCCCTCCAGACTGGTATTTTTGCAGATGTATTCTGCAATATGTCTTTGACACAATAATAGTGCATTCATGGTGGATTTATACTGGACTGTCCAGACATCATTCCACTTTACTAGTTGTTCTGAGATGCTTCCCCAATCAATGTTGCTGCGTTATTGCCACCTGGAGGGGCACTATTGTGCAATAAAATCAGAACTAAACCCCCCCCCCCCAAATATTTGTGGCATTAAAAGTAGCAATCTTTCAGCAGGAAGCTATGGGAACATGCACCAATTGGAAATAAAGCAGTATGTCTGCCATTTAAGTGCAAAAAGAATTGAAAGTGAGATCATGTAGAACTGCTCCAATAACATAATGACCACAAATCAGGAATGCAGTTCATAAATGCATGATAAAAGGATGCCTAGATGGGCTATAAGTCCTTCCACACAGCTGCATTCACCTATTTTAATTTAAAATGTGTTTGTGTTCAAATGCAATGGGCAATCCAATCAAATATATTTTCCAAAAATACTAAAACTTACAATGAGGAGTGTCGGAATCATTTCTCATAAAAAAGACAAATGAATTTAACTGGAGGCTGTGTGTGAGAGAGAACTGAAAGAGCTCAAAATAATCGGAGGTGTATGTTGGATTGAGTCAACACAAAAGTGATTATAATTTGCAAATAAAATGCATCAAAGCCTCCAAGCAAATAAAATATCTATATTTAAGATGATATTGTAATGTGTTATTGCTTTACTGTCAGACATTTGAATTATACTATTTGCTCACAAGAAACTGTTTCCCTGAGCCTTCAAGAAATACTGAATGACCTAACAAAGAAAAGGAGGAATATTTGATTCAGTTCACATTTAAAGGCAAACCTACCTAATTCACATGTTCCAAAACAATACACAAAGCAAAACACAGCGATCTTTTGAAATTTGCACTTCTCTGAATTTTGCAATGCAGTTCTCCAGCAAAGTAATCTGTAGAAAAGGAAATATATTAGGGTCAAGTGTGTCTAAAAATGCATGTATAAAGATAGAATAGAAAAATGCATTATATTAGGGGAAGCTACTTTGCAAAAAGCACAAGAGGCAAAATTGCATACAATATTTTTATAGTCTAGAGGAATTTTAATTACAAGCCTGATATTTCATGAAGCTTAAAAATAATCACAAACTGATGTGGAGAGCTGAACTTAAATTTGGAAAACTGAAAGAAACCAAACTTGACAGATTTATCCATTGATAACAAAGAATTGGACACCCTTTGAAATATTGGATGTCATCCATCACAGGCCAGTACATCAAGCCATCATTCCCAGCCTGGTGCAAAAGAATTTAAGACTGCCATGTTGATTCTATTTTGGGATTCTGGGAACTGCCCATTGGCCATCATAAACTGGATTAGAGTTTGCCATTGGCTAGAGGGAAACAATTTTCAGCCAGTAAATCTGTGGCATGCAAATAAATGGCAAGTAAAACTTACTGGCTCTCATTTCTGATGTCACAGGCTCAACATTAAGCAATTCACAGTGGAACCATCGCCAGCAACAATAATTATGGGATAGACAGTCATTTTCCATTGCAATAAAGTAAGCCATTCTATGCTGAATGAGTGACAATTAACTGGCTATATTGTCCATAATTAAACACATAACTGTTCCTGGCCAGGGGAGATAGTGGCCATAAACTTGTTAGTACAATTGTATGTTTGTGAGGTACAGTATGTAGTTCTTCTCTAATCCCTTTTTTGAAGCAATTCTTAACAATTTTGTGACCAAATCACTGCACATAGGAAGTTGCCATATGAAGAGTCAAACCATTGGTCCATCTATCTCAATATTGTCTACATTGACTGGCAGCAGCTTTCCAGGGCTTTCAGGCAGCAGTCTCTGCCTGCCCTACCTGGAGATATTGAGGACTGAACCTGAAGCCTGTATTAAAAGCAGAAACACCCTACTGCTCTTCCCTGAAAAAAATGGAGACGAGTCCTCAATGGTTCTGAATGAAGGGCTGATTTGATACAGGAAGCTGCCATATGCAGACTTAAACACATTGGCCTATCTAGCTCAGTGCTGATTACACTGACTAGCAGCTGCTCTTCAGGGTTTCTGACAGGACCTGGAGATACTGGGGACTGAACCAGAGACCCATCTGCATGCAAAGCAGGTGCTCTGCCACTGAGCTATTAGCGCACGATAGCTCTGAGTGTTCGTTAGATTTTTGGATTGTGTGTGCTCTATTACTGTAATCTTATGGATGGTGATTCCCAGGCAATTATGGGATTGCAACCTAAGCCACTTATGAAGCTCTTGCCTGTCCATCAAATGGTTGCCTAAATGAAGAGGATGACTTGCTGGCACATACTGGTAGTTCCTGTTGCAGTGACAAAATTCCTAAGCAGAATGGGTAAGAAGTTGTACGTTGAGATCCACATATGGGCAATGGCTCACATATAGGCCAGATGAGCTGTCAAATGTGACAGTGTTGTAAACAAAAATCTGCCCTTTTCCCTTATGGGGTATCAAAGAGCCCATATAGAGTCCTTACATAGGTTCCCTATTGTTAGGAGAAAATAACAGAGGCCAACCAGAGAATACTGAGAAGCAAAGCAGCTAGTAAGCTTGATCTTTATTGATCTGTTGCAACAGGGTGCTCCCCTCACCCGCAGGAGTGGAGGGGGGACCCAGAAAAATGGCGTGCAAGGCCTTATAAAGACTTTTGAAATTGCCACCCTGTAGATCAAGACCACCCCCAGAAACAACATACATACATCACAGAAAAGGTGGTCTTAAAACAAAAATTTGAATATTGTTTTTCTCCTGTCCTTGTTTATCTCCTGTCTGGCAGGTTAGTTGATTGGATTGCCTGGGGAGCCTGGCCAGTCCTTTGTAACAATAAATACTTAGTTCCTGGGCCATGTCACAGGCTCACACCGTATTCATATCTTAAATGTGCCCTTAAGACAGGATTTGTGAGGAAACAGACAATGGGGAGCCTTTTCCACTTTGACCTTGCAGAGAAAACATTTGCTCAGTTTAGGAATCAAAATGGCTTCAGGTCGGCCTTCCTGTGCTGATCTATGTACGTGCGGTTATGAACATTACCATATATCTAAGACCTCAAAATTCCTATCACAGCAGGAGCCTATGAGCCAATGGCCAGGTAAATGCAGCAATGTGCAGGACAATCCAGTTCTATGTACATGTAGATCCTGTGCCTTACTGTGGTATTTCAGAGGTGGGGACATTCCCATACCTACCTGGGGATTGAACCTGGGACATTTTGCATGCAGAACAGATGCTGTACAGCGGTACCACTGGTACCACCAGCGGTACCACCGCTGAGCTGCTACGACACTTTCTCAGGACACTGGAGGGCCCTCATTGAATGTCCAGTTGGCATCTTTGGCGCTGCTGTCCACGTACTCTGTGGAAGGCAGAGATTATCTGATTAGTTGACATGATTGCTCTTTAAACACCCCTCTTTCTCTACTGGGAGCCTGATCAGCTCCTTAGTGTTCTCTGCTTCCCATGCACAAAAGCTTATTATGCTACAGGTTTTGAAAGAGAAAAAGTTTCACCCCTTTTTTAAATGCTGGGAAACCCAACCAGATGGGCGGGGCATAAATATAATTATTACCACAGGACTCATATTCCGCCACCCTTTGCTTTGAGGTCTGTGGAGGAGGCCCTGTGAGTTGTAGTCCACGTGGAGGGCCATGGATTCTCCATCCCTGATTTATATTATGTGGGGCTTCAAAGCATTTTGCCCTCACAACATCCTCACAAAGGAGGCTAGGCCGAGAGCTGCAGCCGCCCAGAGAGCTTTGTGGGTCGAGTAGGGATTTGCACCGTTTTCGTTTACATAACCCTGTTGTCCGAGGGAGACTGGCCTAATAGGTTCAACTTCAAACCATTTTTGTCCTCTCGCACAACCCTGCGCAATAGGCCAGCCTGAGAGAGATTGTGAGTGGCAACACCAGTCACCCCATGAGCTTAATGGCTGAACCATATTGGCCTCCCAAAAACCCTGTGAAGCAGTCTAAGCTGACTCATCGTCCTCAGGGTGGCCATTTGAACCCAGGCCTTCCTAGTCCTATTTCCCCACACTATTATTATTATTTCTCCACAGTGGTGTTCATGGTTCTCCCCTCCACCATTTTTTTCCTCGCACAACAACCTGGCCAGGTAGGTGAGGCTGAGGGGCCAGTGGTTGGCCTGAGGAGTCAGACTAAAACCATGACATAAATCTTGACTACATTGGGTTCTGAGAGGGAGTTTTTATTGACTGGCTTCTGTGGAGTGGAAAAAGCAGGAACTGGACCCTCGTCACGTTTGGAGGTTTTGGGGGCGAACTGAGGGCAAAATGGCTCTCCTTTTCCCCGCGCGCGAACTATTTCGCCAGGCGGAGGGAGCCGTTTATTGATCACGTGGCCTTTCACCTCCTTCTCCCGGCGTTCTCAGCGGAGGCTATTTGTGACAAGCGGAGGAGGAGGAAGAGGGATGGGCTTCTTGATATAGATCTATGTTTTCTCCCTCCTCCCCCCTCCCTCTCTCATAACGCCTTTCTTTCTACTCGCGCATGCGCGAGAAGCCGCCAGACGGATCCTCCCCTGTTTCTCTTTCTAGTCTAGGGGTGAGGGAAGCGCGCCCTCCCCTCCCCTCAGCTGCGTGCCGAGGAGCGCGAGGCGGAGGAAGGATTTAAAATACGGGGTGGGGAGAGAGGAAAGGGGCGGAGCGTACATAATAAAACGCCGAGAGAGTCATGGTGGGTGGGGCTTGGGCGGAGCCAAAGGGCGAGCGAAACGGCCGTGCGCTGAAGTAAGGGAGGGGAGAAGAAGGAGGAGGAGCTCGGCCAAGCAGTTAATCTGAGAGGAAGGTGGTGGCGGAGGGGGGGGAGTGGGCGGGGTTAGGGAGTGAGGGGCGGGGCAGGCCGAGCGGTTGGTTGGGGGCGGCGGGTGGGGAAGGAAGGGAGGGCTGGCCGGCCTTTTTCCCTGCCTCTCGCGAGAGGAGGAGGAGCTAAAGCCGGACGAGGAGGCCCGAGGTCTGCTGTAGCAGCGCTCCTGAAAGGGGTGGGCGAAGGAAGGGAAGAGAGACCGGCCAAAAAACTGCCCGTCCCTTTTGAGGTTTGTGCGCACATGCCAGTCTCGGCTGCGACAGGGGCAGCAGAGCCTCAGCCAATAGCAAAAGTGGGCTGGGGGTGGGAGGCATGGTAAATTTGCATATAGGTGTGGAGCCCGTCAAGGAAATTTGGAGAGGGGGCATTTGATTTTTTCTCTCCCTTACACCTTAGTTAGCCCCCTCCTCATTTATTCCCTTCTTAGAAGGATTAATTCTTCCTGTAGATTTATTTCCTTTCTACTCCCCCCCCCAAAGGTACTCCAGAATCTCTTTTAGGGGTTAAGCCTTGAGATCGTGAAGGATAGACCTTGAGCGGGCTTTTTTTGTTGTTGCTTTAATTATTTCCTTCTAACGTCTTCAGGGTGCATGGCGGTTTGCAAGCTGCAGAGCAACAGGTCCTTGCCCCGAGGTGTTTGCATTTGGAAAGATTTTTTTTAAAAATCGACATAAGAGGGAGTGGGTGAAAGTGGCTTTAAGGAGGTTGAAGGGGCCGAGGCAGAAAAGCAAAAAAGGGATTTGGCTGATAGGATGAACGCCACTCTTTCTCCCTTATTAAGGAAAGTCTCCCCCGCAGTTGGTTTGACGGGATGAGGGTGAAGATAAGGAGGATTTATTCAAATGTGATGGTGGGAAGGAGACATCGTTTTAAAATTTGGCACGTTGGATGGGTGCATAGATGTGCATACATCTATATGTGCATGAAGCTTGTGGATAACTGTAGAATGGCAGCAATTCTGCCCCACCCCAAAGAACACCCATCTTTTTCTGATTCCGCCTTTTTTTTTACATGCCTGCAGTGGTTGGTATCTCAGAAATGCCTGTGCAAGCTTGAGTGGGAGCTTCAGTCAATCCTGGTGCCTTGATTAACATATCTGTATGTGGCATTTGCATAGCACAGGTTTTCATTAGGTGTTGGTTTGAACCCTCTTGTAGATTTTAATTGTAGGTTTTAAAATGCTATGTGTGACAAGGGCTTGACTGTGTACCTGAGGCAGGCTATTTATTTGTAAAGAGGAATTATTCCTTGCATTGGGTGCGCAGTTTAAACCTGCATATTTCTTAGCTGGAAAACTGCTGCTAGTTAGTGTACAGTTCTGGGCTAGATGGGCCCTCAGTCTGACTCTGTCTAAGGCAACTTTTTGTATTGTGGCTGTCCTGGTCACAGTATTTCACTGTATCATTTTTGAAGGTGGCATAGAGCTAAGGAGCATATGCATTCTTGGGGTTGTAGCTAAAGCTAGTCCTACTCAGAGTAGACCCATCACAGATAACATACAGAACAAACTAGGGTTTGTTAATTTAAATGGGTCTAACTCAGTAAAACTGAGTTTTATGCAACCCTTGGTCTTGAGGTAGTATCTCTCTAAATCAGTGTTTCTAAAACTTGGGTTCCCAGCTGTTGTTGGACTACAACTCCCATCATCCCTGGCCAGTGGTCATACAAATCCTCAAATTAAGGTATTTGAGGGTTTTTCCTGTGTTCTGCTTTGGCTCAGTGAATTTGGGCTGATGGAAGAGGTCTCTGCTCCCTTGCTAGGAGCCATAAGCATCACAGGAAATAAGTTTTAGGAACATACTTGCAAAAAAAGGCTAACTGTTCTTTGATAAACTTCCTCTTTGTACCTAGAGTGTCCACTGCTCTGGCTTTTAACAGCCAAGCCTTTTGGAAGGTGCCATTCTGTGTGTTGCGATTCAGCCCTTTGTTATTTACTACTGTTACTAAGGGTGATCTGCAATGTGGAAGAGCATCAGGGAGCCTGCAAGCTCCCTCTTTCCTAGTCGAGCCAGTGATAAAATGAAGGTTACTGAAATAATGGGTGCCTGTTTTCTTGTGCTGGGACCTTTGTGGAAGAAGGGCATCCCTTGCTCATTACAAAAATAAAGCCTCACAATGCTATTGCCAAAGTTTTAAGGTTTAAGAGATATGACTAACTTGGTTCCGTTAAATAGCTTTATTTTGTTGGATTCAACATAGATATATTTATTTCAGCTATTTATATACTGCTTAGTCCTCATAGCATCTTGAGGGGTATACAGTGATTTTTACAGAAATATACACTCTGTGTGTGTATAATATAATAATATTTTAATTGATCAATTGTACATACTGCATTTTTGCTGTATATTTCTTTTGTAATAGCATTAACGTTGTTCACTGCTTTGTAGGCTTTTCTAATGCAAGCCCTCCTTGGCTTTGAGCCATTGAAAATAATGGACAATGCTAACTTGGGTTGATTAATTTCAGTGGGTGTGCTCTTGAGTAAAAAGTGGCTGGATACAACATCATAAACAAATTATGCCATACCAAAATTAATAAAAACAGGAGAAGGGAGTAAATACACCTACTCTTTCTCTGAGCTACACTTTGATGTTTTTGTCCCCCCAGTGACCCCCCCCCCCCGCAAACTCCAATATCCCACTTTTGGTGTCATTTTCTGGCTTAGCAGTATTAATGAGCTCTTAGATTTTCCAGAAATTCCTAGACCTAACAGTTCACTGGCTGTAAGGATAGAAAACAAAAGCCCTTTTTTTGGGGGGGGGAATCTAGGGTAAAACTCTGTCAAGTGTCCTCTTCTTCCTCCCCCTGCCCCACTGCCCCAAGTGGCCTTTGCATTTAATTGGGGGCACTCTCATTCAGAGGATCTCCCCATGCCGAATCATCCAATGCGGCAAGGCAGGCTGAGTTTCCCTCTTGTGGTGAAAGTGCGGTGGCGAAACCAGAGCTTGCATTTACTTGCCTGGGGTTTGGCTGTTTTTCAGGCTAGGAGCTGGGAGGAAGAAGCAAGAGTAGCGGCGTCGGCAGAGATGGCGCGGCTGGTGGCAGTTTGCAGGGACGGCGAGGAAGAATTCCCCTTCGAGAGGCGACAGATCCCCCTCTACATCGATGACACCCTGACGGTAAGCGGCGGTTGGGCAAGTTGGGCTGTGCGCTGGGTGCACGGAGGAATTGCAACATACCGAGGCAGTATTTTGCAATGCCTAGGCGAGTGAGCTCTCTCTCTCTCGCACCCCCCTCCCGCTCCACTCCACCGCCCTCCCCGGGCTCTAGAAAGGCCTCAGCCCCGCCTTGGAGTTCTCCCAGGACAGTAATTGGTGCGCTTTGCTGCACACACTGTTGCATCAATTGTGCACAGTGCGCTTTCCCCCTTAACCATGTCTCTGACACACGCACATGCAGGGGAAGGGGGGGGGAGAGCCACACTCGCATACAGACGGCCTAACCAGAAGATAGTCGTAGCCATTTTGGAACCTAGGTGTCTGCAAAGAAGCGGGAGGCCTCTGGTGGTTTTGCCTGACGCCTGAAAGGCGAAAAGGTTTCTGTGCTTCTTACATGACCTATTAGCTGTCTTGTCACTCAGGCTGTCTCCGTCCCAAAATCAGTTCGTGAACTTTCCAGGATTCGGTTGCAGTGGCCGTGCCCCGTGCAGTTGTGTGGCTTGAGGTTTTGTGTGTGTAGCTATTGTGTGGTGTTCTTTAAAAAACAACAATGCACTGTGCAGCTGAAAAGGATTTGCTCCTAGCATTACTCTTGCTCTTATTTTTTGCATTTCTACCCCACCTTTCTCTCCGAAGAGCTCGAGGTGGCATGCACAGTTCCCTCTCTCCTCATTTAACTCCCACAACAACCCTGTGAGGTGGGTTAGCTAACCCAAGGTGGTCCAGTGAGCTTCATGGCCTAGTAGAGATTTGAACCTTGGCCCTGCAGGTCCTAATCTCTGCACTGCACTGGCTCTTGAAATGGTGCAAGAAGCATTTTGGATATATTACTCATATTTATGTAAGGAGCTTAGTGACCTGACATGCATTTCAGGACTGTTTGGGGGAGAGGAAGTGGTATGAGATGATCCAAATTCTGTGACAGCAAAAACTACAGCTCCCACCTCCAGAGAGAAAGTCTGTCTTATTCTGCAGCCTTTGATTTGATATCCCAAAGATGGACGTGTGTCTGGCACTTGGGGCCTGACGCTTGGATTATCCACTGTCAGAGGGAGGTTTGGTTAGGAAAGATCAAACTCTCCCACCATATTCTCAGTGCCAAATCAGACTACTTGTGATTATGGGACTCTTGATTTTTGAGTAAGCTGAAATCAGCTTCCAAAAAATCGTAAGCTTCTAAAGGATGCTCAGGCTCTGATTTTGGTGAACCTCCACCAAGAGGAAGTTACCCAGGAAAAGGAAATCCTTGGGCAGCTTCTAAGATTACAACTCAGCATCCCATGGTGGTC